TGAGCAAGAAAGCACATTCACATAACTTTTACTACACTTTGTTGTTATAATTATTCTATTATTAGTTATTGTTAGGTCTCTCTTACTGTGCCTAATTTATAAACTGAACTTTAGCATAGCATATACACACATATCTGATATATATCCTCTTTTCCTTTATATGTATAAGGAAAAAATGTATAGGGTTTGGTGCTAGCCACAGTTTCAGACATTCACTGGGGCTCTCGGAGCATATCCTCCAAGGATAATAGGAGGCTGTCATGGTGGAATTCTCTCTCTGGATCATCAATCTTTCTTCTGCATTGAGTAATCTTTAGAGTTACAGAACGTCTTCCACCTAAGAACAGAGCAAGTTTACACACAGGTCTTGGTACCTGATTATACCAATCACCAGCTAAAGTAAGCCCTAAGTGAGGAATTTAAGAAGGTCAAGTTTATTCTAAGTGCCCTTAGTYCTCTTTGTCCTCTTCCCAGTCTGACTTTGGGCTTTGAGTGCGGGCTTTGAACATGGCTGCACTGAGCCCAATCTGTGCAGCTTTAGGGGCAGTCTCCTCTCAACTGCACGAATGCCCAGAATGATGGCTGCCTTCATCCAAACAAGACAGCTGTRTGTGCCTTGCCCAAGTGAGTCAAGATAATCAGCCTTCTTGAAAACATGATTTATTGAAAACATGACCAGTTCTAAAAAACATGATTGGAAAAGATCAATGAAATTAGAGCTGTTCACAGGAGGCAGGTGGGCAAGCTGGAAAGCTCTGTCAGATGGGAGCATGGCATGTTGCTTGGACCTGCAACCTGTGACCTTGAGTTCTCCTTTCCTCAGCATCCTCAAGCTTCACAATGCCATTGCTATCCTCAGGGACTTTGGTTGCTTGCCGTGTTGTTTGTGATCTCTTCCAAAACCTTTCTCCTTCTTCTGTGARATGATATTAAGCCCCACCATTCCACAAAATTAGGACAAGGCATTTTGTGTGTAAAATGAAGTGAGATCACAGCAACAATAAAGGCTTAAAAAACACTGAAATAAAAGCTACACAACATAAAATTTGCCATTTAAAAACTTTTAAGTTTAGTGGCAGCTAAGTACATCACATTAGTGTGCAATTATCACCAATATCCATCTCCAGAACTTTTTCATCACTCCAAACTTAAACTCTGTATGCACGAAACACAATTTTCCCCCTATACCAGCCTGTGGAAACCAAAGTTCTACTTATGTATTTATAAATTTGACTATTCTGGGTTACTTCTATAAGGGGAATCATACAGTATGTTTTTTTGTGACTGGTGTATTCACTTAGCATAATGTTCTCAARGCTCTATGTTGTAGTGTGTGTCAGAATTTCCTTCTTTTTAAAGGCTGAATCATGTCCTACTGTATGTGTGTGCCCCATCTTGTTTATCCCCTCATCCACTGATGAACAATTGGGTTGCTTCCACCTTTTTGCAGCTGTGAATAAAGTTCTCTAAACATGAGTGTGCAAATATCTGTTTGAGTCTCTGTTTTTAATTATTTTAGATACATAGTAAGTGAAGCCTGGTGTGGTGGTGCATGCCTGTATTTCCAGTGACGCAGGAGACTGAGGCAAGAGGATCACATGTTCAAAGCCAGCCTTAGCAACTTAAAGCAAGGCCCTAAGCAACTTAGCAAGACCCTGTCTATAAATAAATAAATAAATAAATAAATAAATAAAATAAAAAGCTCTGGGATGTGGCTCAGTGGTTAAGCACCCTGAGTTCAACCCCTGGTACAAAAAAAAAAAAAGTGGAATTGATGGACTCTTAAGTTTAATTGTTTTTTTCAGAACAGCTATACTGTTTTACACAGCAGATGTATAATTTTACATGCCCATATAATTATTTCCTTACTCATGTCTTTCCTTACCAGATAAAGCAGGGAGCAGTGGTTATTTTTACATCTCTCAATCTCCAGCACCTGCAAGAGTGTTTAATTTATAAGAGAAGCTTCTGTAGTAGACTGCGGGGGGAAAAAGGGTGCAATTTATGTGCTATTGACTCCTCATTTGGTATCTCAGTTSATGGCATATAAAAAATAGGCACTAATAAAGGTATTGAAGAAACTAAAGCACGAATGAATTAATTAATGCAGTTACTATTGCTTTTTCCTTGACCTTTGAGGATAAATGCTTTTTATAAGTTAAGCTACTAGGTTAAATATAAACCCCTGGCCACTGTTGCTCACCTAGAAGTTTCACTTATTGCTACCACAGAGGGGCTGGATTCCCATGGTGGATTTATAAAGCCCATTTTAATTGAGACAGCTTTGAGATATGTCAGACATATATGATATGTCCCACAACATAGGATGACTGGGCTTTTCTCTGGGTATGGTGTGATACCATCATCAGGAAGTGTCTGTGTCCCTTGCAGGAAGTAGACTTTCTGCAAGGATAAGATCAACTTTTCAAAAACTCAAATTATTACTTTATCAAATGTTTTTCTGATATTTCCCAACTAACTTATCTTGAGAAGTTCACCAGGAAGTTGAATTGCCTAAAATCATACAGTATATGGGTTTTGAAGGACTTCAGTGCATTTTGGCAATGCCAGTTTTCAAAACAGTAGTTGTATTCAGTGTTATGTGCTTTGCAGGGCACTTTATCTTTTGTCCAGGCATTTGAAGACAATTTAAATTTTGAAAAATAAATCATATTCTCTGCTAGTAAGTCATCATGAACTCCAGCAGAGATTGCTGTTAGGCTCCATGATTTGCAGAAGCATATGGCAAATCATATCTCAGTTTTGCCTTGGGCCATGTTATATAGCCTTCACTTTATGCAGCATTGGGGAGCAGCTGCACCTCAGCTTATATAGGTGGAATCAACCCTGACTTCTGGCTGGTGAATCTGGAGGACACTTGACCACTTTGCATCATTCTGCAACTTCACTTTTTTAAAAAAATTGATAACTGATTTTGAAGATCTGTCCATGTTGTCACACGTAAGAGGTTTTTACATTTCTTTTAATTGACGYACAGTTTTCTAGTGGCCATTTATCTACTGATAGACATTCAGGCTTTTGCAATTTCTCTCTCTCTTTTTTTTTTTTTAATGGTACTAGAGATTGAACCCAGGACCTGGTGCATGCTGGACAAGCACTTTACCACTGCACTATATCTCCAGCTCAGGTTTTTATTCTTTGAGGGGCTATGGTGATCACGCTTTGTACATGTGCCAATGTTTCCCTGGGGTGATTAACTAGAATAATTAATACAGTTGTAGTGTGTGTGCATTTTTAGTTTTACTAGTTTGCCCAATTGTTTGTCAAAGTGTCTGCCGATTTATACTTCCACCTGAGGGCAGGAGATTGTCCTCTCCATTACTTGATATATCCAAGCACTTTAGTTTTGGTCAGTCTGGGGATGAAATGTTGTTTTGCATTTGTTTTAATTATCATATCCCTGTGGGTTTGCTTTAGCACTTGAGAATCATCTGACAGAAAACTGACAATGACTTGACAATGACTACTTCAGGCTGACTCCAAAGGCAGAAGTAATCGTCTTGTGAAGTGATGTGGCCCATACTCCATGGCTTTCAATGGCAGATCTTTGAAGTGGCTCTTTTTGCCAAAAGCTACAYCATGATTTCTTGTGCTGCCAGAAAATGCTGCTGAACTTTCAGATGGCTGAGGCTACTGACCAGAACACAGTCAAGTGAGAGAAACAAAGTTCCAAAATCTGGCCCATAGTAGGACCTGGGCCCATGTTCCAAGGAACTGCAGCTGCCAAGCAGAGGTGGCCGTCACTGGAACAGWGGGTAGACCTCCAACACCTCTGTGAAAAGCCTCTGTGGAGGGCCACAGTTCACTCTTGGAATTCATTAAACCTGGGAAGCTGGACAGTGTTCACCTCACTTTCTGATGCTTTCTGATGATATATAACATGGTGATGAAATGTAGACTCTGAGACCTTAAGCAGAGTTTGGTAGGGACTGTCACCTTTGTTTTTTGAGAAAACAGGAAAGAATAGAACAGGAAAAGGAAGGGAAACCTTGACTGGTATAATTTCTTTCCATTAATCATGCTTTGCTTTATCTATGAGACATTCTTCAAGATGCTCAAGCAATCACCTGCAGACCTGTTATATTCTGATGGGAACATAATTCTTCTGTTGCTGAAAGACTTGGGTTCAAGTCTAGTCTTTGCTACTTTGTTCTTCAGTTTCCTAACCTGTAAAACTTGGCTAATACGTTGTCCTGCTTCTTTTGAAGGGTTCTGGCTGCTAACAATGAACAACACCTGGCAGGAAGTCAGATCAGGAATTCTAGCCTTTGTCCTAACAGAAACTCCCTGAAACTTAAGTGGAGCTCCTTAAGTACTCTATTCCTTAGTTTCCCATTCTGAGAGTGGGTGTGCCCTGGCTTCTGTGAAGATAAAGACTGCAGGAGGTGTGAAAGGTTTGGATAAACACCAAGGATACTGCTATCAGGTGCGAACTCAGGTGTGTCTGKGAGCCTTTCCAGTAGCAAACAATCAAAATTTGTTTTATTTTAGATGCAGAGAGAGTATGTTTTTGTAGATGGAACCGGTTGGCGGGGACGATTTCTGGCAAATCTTCCTGGGAAGCTGAGGAGCAGGCTCAGACAGTTGCAAAATGAGGACAAATTCTGAAGACTAGGCCAGTATTCTCCCAGCTCCTGTAGGATCACACCGTCCCGGTTGGCTCGTGCCTGCCACCTGGTGTCGCGTCCGGGCTATTGCCCAGAAACCACGTGTAAGAAGTGCTTACAACCTAACTACGCACTTTGGTTTCGACCCATTCTAACCAATAGGGGGAGAGRAGGCGGGGCAGAGTGAAGTAAATGGCCAATCACCTCCTGCTTTTTGAGGGAAAGGCGGGGCTTTGGATTTACCACGTTGGGTTTGTCCGCAGCGCTAATTACTTTTTCCAAAGGCTGCAGGGCTTCACTCCGACTGGCGCCGCTGCCTCGCGCGCTCCTGCTCTGCCGCCACGGTCCCGGGGGCTGCTCGTCCCAAGTACCATGTGTGACGGCGCCCTGCTGCCTCCCCTGGTCCTACCCTTGCTGCTGCTGCTGTTTTGGGGTCTGGATCCGGGCACAGGTAGCGCCCCCTTTCATCTCCCCTCCTCTCCACCACCTTCCCTCTGCCCTTCGGAGGCATCCGCGCGTCCCGAGTGCAGCGGGTGGACCGCTGACAGARTCCCGGGCCGCCGCGGAGGACCGGGCTTCGGGCAGCTCCTGGCGGCTCCTGGCAGGGCTCACCGGCGCCGGTTCTCTGCACGCCCATACCGCGGCGCCGTCTCCGGAGGTGCTGGGCGTCCGCGCCGGAGACCTTCCTCGGCTGGCGGGGGCCGGACGGGGGGCTGGCCGGCTAGGAGGTGCCAGGACGAGCTGAGGGAAGGAAGTGCCGGATCCCGGCGGTGCTGCGCCCTAGCTGGSGCGGCGAGCCCCGAGCTGGACCCGGCGCGCGGCGGCCGGCAGGCTGGAGGGCTGGCGGCCAGGCTGGCCCCACCGCGCTGACGCGTCTTTTCTTTCCCGGCAGCTGTAGGCGACGCGGCGGCCGACGTGGAGGTGGTGCTCCCGTGGCGGGTGCGCCCCAGCGACGTGCACCTGCCGCCACTGCCAGGAGCTCCGGGGCCCCGACGGCGGCGGCGTCCCCGCGCACCCCCAGCCGCCCCGCGCGCCCGGCCAGGAGAACGCGCCCTGTTGCTGCACCTGCCGGCCTTCGGGCGCGACCTGTACCTGCAGTTGCGTCGCGACCTGCGCTTTCTGTCCAGCGGCTTCGAGGTGGAGGAGGCGGGTGCAGACCGGCACAGCGGACGCCCAGCGGAACTGTGCTTCTACTCTGGCCGCGTACTCGGCCACCCAGGCTCCCTGGTCTCGCTCAGCGCTTGTGGCGCCGCCGGCGGCCTGGTACTGCCCGCGTCCCCTCCGGGTCTGCCTGGCCGGTTTGTTGCGACGCCCGGGTGGTCTTCGAGGAGGGCTGGGGTGGGACTCCTTGGTGGGAAAATCCAGCCTAAAGAGGAACTGGAGAGAACCTTCTATTTCCTTTCCCACCCTACCCCACATCCCTCCAGACCTTCCTGATGATTTGTAAGGGAAGGGGATGGGAGGGGAAGAATTCAATTATCAGAATATGGCGGAGGTGGGGTCGCATAGGAATGAGCTGCGGATCCCCCAGGAAAGTGCACATGAAACTGTCAGACCCCTGACTGTGAGGCACATTTTGCTCAGGTGTAGAGAACACTGCATTTTCACAGGTGTGTATGTATGCCTATCACGAGAACACTTTTATGTCTGTATCCCATTTATTCTGGGTTGGTGTGTAGGGGAGTAGATAGTCCTTTTGGATTTCCTTTAATACTAGGAAAAGGAAGTTTGGAGGGGATCCCAGGCAATCATGGTTAACCCCACTCTTGTTGAAAGGTCAGAACCAGGAGAGGAAGAATTATCAGTATCCTTGTTTTCTGTACCATTAACAGGCATTTATCTGGCATCCTGCTCCAGCAAGGATCACTGTGTTCTTATATTGATTCTAAGAACATGTCTCTGCTCCTCAAAGTCCTCCTTCCCCTAATATCCTGCCCTGTTATATTTATTTGAGGCACCTGTGACAAGTACTCAGTGGACTGGGAGAATTCTTGTGTACTTTTGCTCTGCCTGTGCTCATACTTAATCATTTGACTACACTGGTGCCCAGCCAAACACTTCTCAGCTTCTCAGTGATGCTCCCAAGGAGTGCACATGGTTGGCAGATGGGCTGCCCCCTACAAAGCTTGGTATCAACTCAGAGAATGAAGTCCATGGGTTGTTTCTCTGTCTTTTGTCACAACTATCCTCTGGGGAGGTAATTTCTGATATTATTTTGTGTCTGTCCTTACCAGGCCCACAAGACACTGCTCCCCCATCTCCTTTTATCTTATACCACCATCTGAAATTCTCTGGCCCTTCCCATGTAGTCTGTAGCAAGACATCAGGAATCTGCAGTAAAGCCAGAAAGCCTGGGGGTCCAAGTTTTTATGTGAGGCTTCTGCTTTATTCTCAGCACTTTTGGAGCATGTAATTGCTGGGATCAGCCTAGTTCTTCTTTCAGACATTTTCTGAATTCTGATTTTAAGGTGTGATCCATTTTTGCTTGACTGGGAGAAATGGGCTGCTTTGGTAAAACAAGGAAAAGGATATAGAGTGAAGGGGGCTTGGWAGTTAATGTGGAACAGGGTCAGAGAATGTGGGCTGTGGGCGAGGAGGCTTAACTAGGAGTGAGAAAGGCTCAGATCACCATAGGGCTCGGGTCAAGGCTGTATCATGTTCTGGGAGGGACTCAAAGGCCCACATCATTTTTCCTGTTTTTGCCAAAGTGTTTCAAGTCTAGGTCACATCACTGTACTGTACATGGAAACATCTGAATCCCATTTGCTGCGGTTTAGTGAGTTTCTGTAGAGGTCAGAGTTTATACTTCTTGGTGTAAAGTTTCCAAYGAGGAGCTATCTGTGAAGGAGCTGAGGCTGAAAATCTGGATAACATTGATTTAGAGTCCTTGCAGAATGAATGCTGAGCCTCCTCACAGATGGCATCTGAGCCCTTTCAGGAAGACTGCCCTTCCCTTTGACACCATGTGAGGGCGCTGTGCTTTACATAAGGGAACCCAGCCAAGAAGCTGAGTTCACCCTGTGCCAGTTGCGGGTGGACCCCTTAGATTTTTTAGATTTTAAGTTCCAGCTTGAGCAGACACTGCTGTTGTTTAGTCTGCCTTGTTCATCCCATCCTTCCATGTGAGCTGGACATTGGGCACTTCTTTCCAAGTAGTCAAAGTGCCGAAGGCAGGAGGAAAGAGACAGTAGGGTGACTTGGAATGGCCCTTTTGGTGGCAAAGTGGTCCTGGAGGGCAAAGAAAAGAAAGCAACAGAGCATAGACTCACCAAGTCTGTGCCTCTCTCCATCTGTGGTTGTGGTTCTTAGGGTGGTAACGTGTCAGTCCCTCTTGACCTGTTAGAAACCAGTGTCATGGAGTTTTGTGTGGTAAGTGTGTCTTTGTCTGTCTGTCTGTCTGTCTGAGGAGGCTGAGCTACAAGGTATGAAAAGGGCAGGCTATCAAGTAGATTATTTTTGGTGGCTGTGGATGGGGCACCTCCCTGTATCTAAAGAATTGTATAGATTTAGGAGTTGGCAATTTTTTTTTCTGTAAAGGATCAGAGAGAGAATATTTTTGACTTTGCAGGCCGTATAGCCTCTGTCACAACTTCTCAACACTCCCCTTGTAGTGTGAAAACAGCTGTGAATGGTATATAAAAGATGGATGTGACTGTGCTCTCCAAAACTGTATTCTGGATGTTGAGTATCATTTTAATTGCTTGTAAGTTCTGTATTTAATGTCTTTAAATGGTAGTGTCCATTGCAGGGGCTGGAGGAACACAGGTTCTGCTCTGATTTGCATGAAATCCTTGCTGTTTGTGCCCAGAGATGTTGGGTATCTATTTAATGACTCATTATTAGTATATATCATTACTTGTTTATGAGGAATAAATCATGCGTTCAGTCCTGCCCTCTCTTTTAATGGTATTCAGAGGCATGGGCCTATGGTGTTTCCACTCTGTCTTATCTTGAAGGCTCTCCCAGCTGCACTTTTTGGGACTTCAAAGACCCCAGGCTCAAGGATTAATTGTTTTCTGTTTATGCTTCTTTATTTTATTTATATTTGAAGGAGTTTTCAGACATAGCGTAAACTTTTGGAAGATTTCCTATAACTGTATAATGTCAAAGCAATGAACAAGGTATGTGAGGAAGGTATCTGTACTCCAAATAAATTTACATAAAGTTTGGATTAGCTACCCTCTGACAAAAGCACCAGATCGTGAAAGGCCAGAAGAATTGGAATCCAGTTTAACTTTGTAGGTAGAGAAGGCTGGAGGAGTAGCCCTTTAAGGCATAGAGTGAGGAGTCTTGGTCTCTGAAAGGACTCCTTTGCCACTTGTCTGAAATGAGTGGATAAGGACTTGTTTTAGGCAAAGTGAACAGAGAGGAAGGAAGGGCTGGAGGCTCCCCCATTGGGTTTGGACTGCTGAGCAGTGGCCACTTTTCCTTCAAAGARTATTCTTAGACTCTGGGAAGCCACCCACCAGAATCTGTCCATCTCTTCTTGAGCAAGGGTGTACTGTGTGTGAGGTGTTGGGACCAGACATAACTCCAAGGATTTTGGAGCTATAGAACATTAATAAGTCACCCCAGAAAGATTGAGAAAGGGGTAGAAATTACCTAGGGCATACCTCCTCTGGAGTCATAGTCACATACCACAGAACACTTTATTGGAATCTCTGGGGCCGATTGGTCAGTGGGTTGGCTTGGTGATCAGCTCACCCTTAATCTGATGGGTCAGCCCAACTGGAGAGTGTGGGGCCATTTTGTGGCTTGTCATTGGTAGTGGTTCTTATAGTTTTGTACAGCTCTTCCAGGCCACTTGGGAACCTTAGATAATGGGGAAAAGAGTATAGTTTGGACTGGGATAGATGGAAGCTGAGTTCTGCCAGCCAAGTCAGAAGTCAGTGAGGTTAGAAGAGGCTGAGAATCCCATTCTCAAGAGGGCAGCTGCAGTTATACCTCCCCTGGGAGGCAGAGGAATTGCTGCCTCACTCTTTTTAAAAAAAAAAAAAAAAAAAAAAAAAGAGAGAGATAGGGGAGAGAGAGAGAGAGAGAGAGAGAGAGAGAGAGAGAGAGAGAGAGAGAGAATTAATATTTATATTTTAGTTCTCGGCGGACACAACATCTTTGTTGGTATGTGGTGCTGAGGATCGAACCCGGGCCGCACGCATGCCAGGCGAGCACGCTACCCCTTGAGCCACATCCCCAGCCCCCGCTGCCTCACTCTTGAGAATTTTATCAAATGCTTTGGTTGATGAATGAGAAAATTGCCCAGCTTTATAATATAGCATTACTCCATCCAGTACAGTTGAGTAGCAGTTAGTCTTGGCAAAAGTTTTATGAAGTGGAGACCGTTTGGATGGAAGCAAATGGACCAAACTACATCATAGCACATTGTTATTGATCTAGGTCTGAGGAAAGCACATTGTCCAAAATGATTGGTTCATATTGCTGAAGAATTGATCATGTAAAGGATAAACATTTGTAAAACACAAGGTGTATATTTAGAGCTTTATAATAGAAGAAAGGCAAAAGACAGTTTGAAGTTTGCAGTGTAAAAGAATTAAAGAGAACTCCATTCAGAAAATAACAAGGCCAGCCTCATGGAGGCTTCTTATCCCCTTTGACCTCTCATCCTCCATACTCTTCCCTTCCTGATTGTCATTGCTCAGGTGCTTTATCTACCTGCAGCTTTTCAGAGCTGGGCAACACCTCTTAGGAAGCCAGGCCTCAGCCTCTTTCTGAACCACTGCCCATGAACATGACTTAGGGCACTCAATTAGATTTCCCCACTTTGAACTTTCATTTAGTTGGCACCATTTAAAAAAAAAAAAAGAAAAGTACAAGGTAGGGTGATGAACTGAAGAAATCCTTTTAGACTGATTGCATTCTTGAAGTGTATTTCTTGAACACTGGAATGCTGCAGCTGCCTGACCTTGGACGTGTGTGATGGGAGATGTTTTTGCAGCCTTTGGGTCTGAGGGAACCACACAGTTTCTGGTTAACCTTTCGTTGTGCATGCTTCTGTGCTCAGCACATGGATTCGTGGTCACACTCTTGTTGCTTAGGAAATGAAATTGCACTGCTGGGGGTGGAGGGCTGTGACCTTGAGTGAGTCATTTTACTCTTTTGAACCTCCCTACCTGCAGCCATACAAGAGATAAATAACATCAGCCATGCATGGCTATTGATGGAACAGAACAAGATTCAGTCAGTGAAATAATTTAGTGAGAATCTGTGACATTAAGGCTTTTAAAATGGGTTTCTTCTCTAGTCCT